AACGATGTACTAAAGGTTCGAACGAAGTACCAGCAACTCGAGGAGTCCCCAGGCTCACGTGGACGTGTAGAGTGAGAGGGCATGAGAGCCCGGAAATGGCGAGAGTCACCGTGCGAACGAGAGGGACTCCCGCCACTTTCAAGCAGTGTTCAGTCGCCGGTACATCGTTCCAACTGCTGGTACATCGCTCGTACCCTGCTATTCGCAAAGTCTGACACCGACCATAGGCCGAGGGATCAGTGGAGCACTTGAACTTGCCTATGCAGGTATCCTATATTATGGAGATCTCGAACGGCGATCAGCGTCTGTATACTACACTGTATGGTGGTTGATCTGCTATAATTGTGACCGAGTATATCTCTTCGAATATCTTCTAAAGACTTCCAGACAAGACCCATTACAAGAAACTGAAAGTAGCTGTTCCAACAAGAGGTCTGATAGAAGGAGTGGGAAGATTACTTTAAACTTCGCCGTCTTCCCTCTATCCACGAATGGCACAAAATGTTGTTTACAGTTGGGATCGGTCTGTTCATGGCACTTCATTAATACCAGCACTTCGATCTTTAATCGCAACATTCTTCGATCACCGATCACCATCTCTGTTTTCATGGCAGACTCCTAAACGACCTTTGCTTCCACGAGATTTTATCTTATTTTTTTTATTTTTTAGCCTGCTCAGTGAAATTTTGCAAAGCGAAATGCTATGCCCATTTTAGGGCTCTTCGCGAGTGAACAGGTGTTGTGTTTTTGTGTAGGTGTTGTTTCGCAAATGAAACTATGAGTAGTCCACACGTGATGGAGAGAAAAAGCTGCCAGGAATCTTAGAATTACAATGCGTGCTGATCATGCGGGCGGAGTTTGCGTTCCATTCCCGCAGGCTCTCACTGGTTGAATCCATCCCTTTATTGTATTTTGCCGTATCATAAGCAATGGCTAGCCGATAAGATTCTTGCAGGGCGGGGCGCAAACCCCGCCCATGCGACGGCGCGCAGCGATTTTGTTTTGCAGTTTTTTTGTTCTGTTCCGTTACCAGCGATCTCGCAGCATTTGCTTTTAATACTGCTGCCATACAATGCAAATTGTTAGTGTTCATTCTTGCAGGACAAGTGGCAGCAGCAAGTCCGAGGAGAGCGAGCGCACATTACCGGAACTGACCGTTTTGTCGGCTTCATTGTGCTTCACGACCTTATAGACGTCTCCGAATCCACCAGAACCAAGCAGTTTCACGACGCGCCACCTGAAGGAAAAGTTTCAAAGCCCGCAACGGATGGTGACGTTTCGCAGCAGTCAACTCTCTCAAAGGCAGCGATTACGATAAAGAGTGTGCGCATCGGAGAAGCATATGCGCATGTCGATGGCCAATTTCGAAGGCTATTTCAACAAACCGTAGCATCGACTGATCAAGCAATGAAGCGGGCTCAAAACCTAATATAGCGTTCATAGTTGGCGATCGTACGTGCGACCAGGCGAGTTAGGCGATTAGGCGAGTAGGCGATAAGAGAAGGATACGTATTGATTTGTTGCTCCGCCCATTGAGCGATCGCCTAATCGCCTAATCGCCTACTCGCCTACTCGCCTACAACGCTCTATGGGCGGAGCAAACCAATCAATACGTATTAGTCTTCCAATGGGGAGGGGGCGCCCTACTCGCCTAATCGCCTTACCGCCCAATCGCACGTACGTTCGCCAACTCAAGCTCCATAACCGACCGCTTTTTCGTCGCATTAAGGGAATAATGCTTATCAATGATGCACGTAAGAACTCTTTTCATTTAAATACATAGAGCTTTACAGAGCAGTCCGACGTGTGGACACAGCCCAAATGTAGTGCTTGGCAGAGAATTTACCATTAGAGCCTCCTGCATAGCTCTTTCAAGCGTCGCTTACATCAGTACCACCTAGTGTCGCTCTCACCTGGTCTCCGTCCTGCTCTGTTCACCTCGAATAATCGACCCTACACGTTGCTACCGCTTATTTCACCCGAGCTTGCGATAACGAACTTCAAGCCATTTGATATTTCTGGTATTGACTCACGTATGCTGCTCGCTCTGAACTGTGTCGCCTTCACTCATGATTTCACGTTTATCTGGTTGCTTCTTCTTCGCTTTCCTTTTGCCAGGCTTTCTCTTGCCCTAGGAGAGCTATTTCAGTGAAACGTTGTGATTAATATGGCTGCAGCGTGAAAACTTTACCACTGGTCCACCGGTTTTCTTCTGCTGTTCAGTCTGCTGAAAGTAAGCACGTTAGCATCTCCAACACAATACTCATGACGTGGCGAAAACCCTCCTACCTGAGTCCTTGGTGTAGTTGCAACCACTCCTGTTCCAGGGGATTGTGGCGGACGGCTCGATTGTCCTCCTGTTGCTGGTGGTGGTGGAGGAGGAGGAGGTGGTGCTGGTCCTGGTGCAGGCGGCGGTGGTGGTCCTGCTGGCGCTCCTGGTGGACGAGATGGTGGTGGCGGAGCATTTCCTGCGAGCGCTCCTGCAAACTCATACGCGTCTTGCCCACCCATCTAACAATTGAACCTCACTCGAGTTGCAGGGAACTATAAAATTCAGTTGTTATTGAAAACAACTGCTGGATAAACGATAAGACCGCTTCATTGGTTCAAATCACGTTTCGCTGGAAAAATCCCCTTAATTTCCTTCCATATATTTCATTAAGGGGGTGGGGACATCGCCTGACGGCTCGGCGTTCTGTTTCACCCACCTCTGAGGCTGTCTCCGTGCACTGTATTTCAGAACTCACGGTGCGGCAGAGTAGTAATGATCGCTGTGACGAGGGTGAATACTAGTCGAGGAAATCTTCGACGGGGGATCGTATTTGTCAGGTTGGGTTATGGTGAGTTCGTACTCGTGGGGGTCAGTGAAATCAGTGGCATAACGGTGCAGAAAGGCGTGAGAGGGTGTAGCGCAGCAGAAAAGAGGATATGTGAGAAAACATCAGATAAAACATTCTTCGCAGGTTCACTCGCTCATTCCTCTACCTTTATGAGAAGATGTATTTAAGATCGCAACAAAGAGTGAAGATCATTTCGCGCAAGAGCAACAGGGAACTCCATTGTCGTGCTGCAAGGCGCCTCTTCTGTCTACCGCCCGCTCCCTGCCCCTTAATGCCTCGTTGAGATTGACACTGTTGCTAGAGATGCTGCCGCAAGAACGACATTGGTGAAGGGATGGTCCGGGCCAAATAAAGCGTGTTCCTCAGTATAGGAGTTGCGAACTGAGCTGTACAGTAGCACAAGTGTCTGTCAAGATTCCATCGTCATATCCAGCTTTCAATCGATTATGCAACTTCAAGCGGATTTCGGATGCATGGCCTATACCGAGACGAATTCGGACGACCACGTGCTCCTTTCTTGTGTCGCCTTACGTTAGAAGAATGTAGTCTAGACACATTTCGAGAGTTAGAGATATCCTCTATCATTTTCAGTGCATGTTTACTTTAACTCACATACATACATTGAATGTAGGCCCTTCATCAGGGCAATCTCAGTTGGGAAGACACAGAAAATTCAAAGGGATTTTCGTTCCTTAGTCCCTTCGGGGAGGATAGCATACGGTCCAGGACTTACAATCAGGAAAGGGGAATCAATCGGCATTTCAAAACTATTTTCATTTTTTTTCAAGTTTTCACGGAATAGAGAAGATATTACCTTTTCAAGTAGCCAAATAAACGACGTCATAAAATCCTGTGTTCACTGCGCTCACTCGTGCATTCGGAACCCTTTTCGACTTAGGCCGATGTCAGACTTTGCGAATCGCGCGATTCGCTAGCGTCTGCGGTCGCGTCGCGGCCAGTGAATCACTCAATTGGCTGGTACCGCAACGCGACCGCGGACGCTAGCGAATCGCGCGATTCGCAAAGTCTGACATCGGCCTAAGGCTTTTAGGGCAATTTTAAACAATGGTTGGTATCGAGAAACCTAGCTCTATCTGACACTTCCAGGTGATGTTCCGAAGTTACGAAATTTGGGAATGGTGCATTTCAACGAGGATTTAGATTTCCATGGTTCGGAGGGGTAAGGGGGCTTCAGCAAATCTGACCCAGGGATCAACCGCGCCGCAACTGTCGGTGAATCGGCCGTCGTTCTCTAAACTTGGCTTTCGCATTACTAACAGTACATGGCTGTGACTTTTGTATTCAGTTGTGTTTCGGTTATCATGTTATCGTTTGTTCATTCCGGTCATCCCATCGTAACAATCGCAGAGGATTCCCCCTCGTCTTCTCAGGCCAACCAAGCTTTTTCTTCCGGTACCATCAAGGGCCCGCCTAAGACGAGCTTGACTATATTTAGAATGATCAAAAGCCCAACCAAAAGATTCAATGGTTCATCTTCTATCCAGTAATGGAGATGGGGTGCGGCAGTTGCAGCCACCTACAGATTCGCGCCAATTTTACAGGGAGGAGGAAATCTTGCAGGCGGGTGTCGCGACATTTCGCATGCCGTCTACACTTCAACCCCCAGGGGCTTTCTAGTCCTTTAGGCAATACGAACTTTCGTAACACATCCCATTACTAGACTGACCCCAAAACGAGAATGGTGTGTAAAAATCACATGCCATCCTTCGAAAATTTCCCGTTACACAGTTGGTTTAAGTAAACAGCGAGTCTACCTGATTAGTGATGAACTTTGAGAGGTTTGCTAACGTTAAGAATATTTTTGAATGGACGATAGTAATTTGATTTATAACCTTACAAGCTCCCCAGCGAGGCCTTCGAGATAACAAAATTTCTGCCATAGCATTGAAGGCTGAGTCCAAACCGAAACAAGTAGGCAGGCGTCTGAACCGCATTTTCCTTTTAAATCCGTTCATTTTCTACTTTAACTGTGTGGGGGCGACGTGACGTTCGGTAGACGGCCAGGAGGTACGCGGGTGTCCGCGTTCGCCATTACCGTAGGACCCCTCTGCCGACGTGGAGTGAGGCAGACGATTATGGTTGACAGGAGGTGTGTGAGGGCCAAGAGATGAGCTGAGTGACAAGTTAAAGCATGAGGAAACCAAGTTTGTGAGGGCATAATTTGTTACTTCTAATTTTTGCTATTTTTATCAGCTATTTTTCTTGGTATCATTTCGTTCCTCATTTGTATTTGTATTCCACTCTTCTTACTAAACTCACATCATTTACAGGTCTGGACAAGAAGTGACAAGTTTGCAGTCCCTCCCTTCAAATGTTTGGCCGGCCGCATACCGACAGGGAGAACTGAGACTGTGTGGGAAGAGTCAACGATTCTACGTTCGCCCGGAGTGCTTGAGAAAGCAACCCCAGATTAAATTGGTGGGTAACAGCGTCGATAATGAAATTGTGGATACCGAAGTGGCTGATATGAAAAAAAAAATCAAAGCAAAATGCTGATGAGGTCATTAACAAATTCTCCCTCTCTTCACCCTCAAAATGAGGGAGGGTGGCGTCCGGACGAGTTGTCTGAACTTGCTTAGACCCCCACCGTGGCTCAGCTAACTCGTCGTATTTGAAGTTAGCCGCCGTTACACTGTCATCCACGGTGCGCGTCGTTGGAACGCCGCACGAGGGTATCTCGCCGGGCTTTCACACTAGTCGCCCATCTAGATCGGAGTACCTCTCAGGAGGTCGTAGCGCGACAAAAAGGCGAGTTCAGCGGGCGGGCGAGTTGCGCGTGTACTGTAGGGCATTTCGCTGTTAACTTAAAGCCACGAGTCAGGATTAGGCAACCAGCAGAAGTTCTTCCCAGGGTGCGATAGTGGGCTCCCCAAGCACTGAGGGCGCGACACTATCGCGACCCAAAAGTGCGCGGCAATGGCGCTAAGGCCTTGCCCGCCGCGCTGCCCGCGCTGCCAGCGTAATCCACCACGGCATACGTGGTCTCTGCGTCCTCTCGCGTATGACGTACTATCTCGCGTTCTCCCTCCTCGCAGCGCTGTGTCTCTCCGTCGTACTACGGCCGGCCTCCTAAGGGAAATTTAGTGTTTTCTATGGTGCTTTTTGCTTTTTCTCCTCACTAATGTTCCTCATTGCACCCCTTGCCTAATGTTTGAACAAAATAACGCATCAATTCAATCCCGACTCGTGCCTTTAAATAATGTTCCATTGTACGTTTTTCATCGCATTTACGCGCCGCCACTCGCTCCGCGACTCTGCCTCTCCCCATGCCGCCGCGACAAGGGCCGTTAAGGGGGGAATACCACATTACGATCACTTTTAAAGCCACAGCGTCATTGCTGCGCATGTTCGAACCGTGTCGAAAACGGCACATTCTGGCGAATGGAACCAGAGTCGACCCTACCGTCGCGACTTTTCGGAAATTTTTTACGACCCCCCTCTTCCAATCAAAAATTTCACGACCCTCCCCCCCCTCTTCACCACCCTCCCATCATGGTGGCTTGTAGTTAACTTACCAGGAAAGGCATTCAACTTCCCATGGAACTTTGAGATGAGACCCAGATATATCGATAGAGCTTCAAACGCTGATTACAAATATGGAAACTAAAACTGCAAAATGAACCTGCCAAGGAAGTTGTGAGCAGTCAAAGTTGGCTGGAAGTAAAGCATTACACTAGCCTCCAGGCTTTCAAAGTCGCCGTGGAGTAGTGGTAGTGCTCTCGGAATTTGCGCTCCGACGGGAGATGAGCTTATGACCTCCAGAGTGAAAGCGAGGGCACCAGAAAGGCCGGAGGCTAGTGTAATGCTTTACTTCAGCCAACTTTGACTGCTCACAACTTCCTTGGCAGGTTCATTTTGCAGTTTTAGTTTCCATATTTGTAATCAGCGTTTGAAGCTCTATCGATATATCTGGGTCTCATCTCAAAGTTCCATGGGAAGTTGAATGCCTTCCTGGTTAGTTCGGACCCGACAGCTCAAACAAACCTGCAAACTCAACAAAATACGATTCCCCTGTTGAGTACTTGTGTGCACGTAGGGTTGACGCCTGAATACTCACGGCATTCTTCTCATTCCCAGCAGAATAAGATCTTCGACACGAGCCATTCTAGATTTGCGTGCCTTTCGGAGGGTGAGCAAGCCTTCGGGATTACCCTGACTGGTAGGAAGCGTACTACGAGGGGAATTGTGGGGTCCGTACCTACATAGATCATGCCAGCTTCGTCGCCACAAATTGCGCGATTAGCGCGCTAAACCTTACGGGCGTGCAACCAGCGACCCCAGTGGCAACTCTCACCACCCACCGCGATTGATGTAGAGGTTGGATGGTGTGCGTGTGCTTTCTCCCGTGTTCTATGTTCTTTAATCGCCCTCGCGCTGTACCAGATCCGACCTTACTGGAGGTTGAGGCTTTTGTTTTAGAGTTTCCGATGATTTTTTTCTTTCGATCGAGCAGCTCAATCATTTCTAGGAAGCTTGTGCGCCAGTTCGGGATTGCCATCAAGCGGTTCAGAACTGCAATTATTCTTCTCCCCTGAGACTAGGGAAAACTCTAAAGCCTCAACAGTAAGGTCGGATCTGGCATCAGCGCTCGACGGGCGATCAAAAAATTCACTGGGCCTGAGACCATCATCAGCGATAATAAGAATGAAAAGAACAGAAATTGCTTTGTTTTGGTAAAAAATTCGAAAAATCGAAAAGGGCTGCTACGCGTTCAAAGTGCCCACGGACGTCTTTCACAAATGCTGGCGACGGGATGCTTCCACTTGGTTCTTGGAGTGCCTTCACTAGAAACTCTTTCTGGCCTTCTGCTTTATTGCATTCACATCTTACACTTCTACTCCATCCTATTCTATCGATCGATTTGTCTCTACTCTCCGAAATCGCGCGCTTTAACCCGATTCTTTCATTGCGTCGCCTGATACGTAGGCGCCCCAGTGCGGACTTATTCCATGCCCCGCCTTTGGCTCCGCCCGAATTACCTTCGATGTCCATAGAATGGATTTTCGTGAGTTTGTTTCTCTTCGGAAACCGAACCTTCATGCGTAAAACTTTGTGTATTGCATCTAGTGATCACAACTGATACATTCATGTTGAAAAAGAATGCAAGAATTTTCCGCGAAGGATTCCTTCAGGTTCGCGACAGTGTTGCGCCTCCTTTTTCTTTTCTATCTCTCTTTTTTTACTTAGGCAGTGACTTAACTTTAAGGCCTTCGTGTGGCTTCAAGCGCGATTCATTCGGTGGATTTCTTTTTCAAGTAGCTCCAATAAGCTGGAAGTTAAAGAGGATAGAGCATCGACGCCTACATTAGTTTTGTCATTGCAGTAGGCCGCACGCATCCTATTTCCCTTCAAAATCGTTAGAGCATAAGAAAGGCCGATTAGGGTTCATACCTGCGAGTAACCTGCGAGGTCAGCCGATGTACAGGGTGTCCCAAAATTATGGGCGCCGAAATTCAAAAATTTGTTTGGCAAAAGTACTCGATTATTCTCCCTTCATTTGCTGATGATTAGTTACACACAAAGGTCCTCTTGTAACCTGTTTGATTGTAGGTGTGAAATCCCTACTATCTTCAGGAGGGCGGGAGGTCTTTCACTGCGAACCCCCCAAACCCAACCCCCATGCGATCATTCGCAGTGCACCGGGGGCGGATACCAATGAAGGAACAACTGTCAAATACTTTGTAGGTGCTTACAAGGGTTATACGGAAGGTTATCCTACGATACTAGGAAACAGCGTCCATTATGCATAGGCCTAAGAGAGGTAGAAAGGCTGGCCCGTTCTGCCGGAAGGGTGTCTGAAAGGTTCCATTCTCAAATTGACCGCGACCCACGACGCTCCTTCAGAAGAATGGCGGAGGAGCTGGAGGAATCGAAGTCATCGATGGGAAAGGTAGTCAATGAAGAACTACATAGCCGTTCCTACCATATGCAGGAGTGCCAGCTCATTTTCGATATCAACAAGCAACAGAGGGTCAAAGATTGCAGAAGGTTGCTCACCCGCCTCAGTGAGGACACGCACCCTACCACCCTTTCTTATGAGGAAAAAATTTCCATAGCAGAGCGGATTGGCAATAGCCAGAAAGATTGCATTCCGGGCAGAAATGTCAGGAGTGCTACTCCACGCTAAAAGATTGTTTGCAAATCACCGAACTCGGTCTCAATTTCGGTTTAAAGGAACACCACGTCCAGTGGTAAGGGGCCGTTAGTTTTCCTTTGATTTCGGTAAGTTCATCAGCAAATCCGGACACTTGAGGTGAACGTAATGAAGGCTCGGCACGAGTCCTACCGTGGAAATAACTCTGAGTTGTTTCCAGCCCAGGAAAGTGGCTCAGGCGGCCTTACATGGCCAAGTTCCTCCAAGTGTGGTGCCGAGTTCAGTTGCCCGACTTTGCTGGCACCGAGGAACGGCCGTCATTTTCACCAGGTTCGCGCCCACCTCACCTCTTAGTGTGGTCGTTGAGCGAAAGTAAGGTGTGTCAAGTTCTTCGTCACAGTTCGAGTCACTGGAAGGAACATTGAAGGAAGCCTGAGAAGAAATAGACGAGGAATTCCTGCGTGCAACGTGCGCGAAGCCTAAGAAGCGACTTCGAGCTTGCATCAGTCGCGTTGCGTTGGAGAGTATTTCGATATCTAGTTGTTCCACATTGTTGGGGATGATGCAATTTAACCTTATGTGTGAATTCAGTCAGCATCGTCCGTTTAGAAGCTTGAAATATATTGCTGTGTGTAGGCGCCCATAATTTTGGGACACCCTGTACAAGTATCAGAGCTCTCTCCTCGGACAAATTTGGCATGAGTTGGCTTGCTAGGGAGGAAGGAGAACTTCATTAGCGTGAGCTGGAGTCAGGACGGGATTTCATCCCAGGCTGTGTGCCAAGGAAGCAGCACCATCTGTCACTGTATCACATATTCTCCCATATTCTAAGGATATTATTTCCAAAAATTACCAAAAATTTCGTGAAGGCTACTTTTCACGAAGAGATCTCTGCATACCGGATTATGATTGTACGAACGATTGTTGCTTCACATTTTTTCATATATACATATTTTTTCATATATACACACACAGAAGGAATCAGTAGCTGTCACGAAGGCTGATGCGTTCACCGAATTTCGAAGTTTTTCGGGTATTCCTGATCGATTTTCGCCTTCTTTTTCGGCATCAGCACATAACTCCGTAGCTCCTCCATTCGTTTTGGGCATTTGCAGTAGCGAAGACCGTTCACTGAATTTCATCTTCTTTTTGTGGGCAATGGATCGAATAATTTTCAAACGATCATCTTCTAACAAAATCAGCAAAACATACTCTTGCGTCCCTTTCGACCTCGACGGCCACGTTGTCCCGATAGCCCTGGGGAGCCTTCACTTCCTTCAGCACCTGGATGACCGACAAGACCACTCTCACCGGTTTCACCGTCGACACCTGGTTCTCCAGAAGAGCCACGTACACCTTGTGGACCTTAGTAAACCGTGCGGACAAGCACTAATAAGCAAGCACAGTACAAGGTGAAGGTGAGAGGTATAATACTTACCAGACGGCCCTTTTAGACCGGGACCGGAATCCCAGCGGAATGCGAAAAGGCCAGGAATGCCTGGTGTACCCGGAAGTCCTACTACGCCTGAAAAATCGACAATTACGTTCACGTCCTTATTTGTTGAACAACTTTCTACTTTTCCCTTCGCTTTGAGTAGGTTTCCCTTCGTTTTGAGTAGGTTTTGCTAGTTTTGATACCTGGCTAACAGCTAGGATCAAAATATACCTGAAGGTCCTCGATATCCGGGTGGACCTGGAGGTCCAATCCTAATCACTTGGTAGCCTGGTTCTCCCTTTTCTCCTAAAACACTACAGAATTAATGGTATGGAAAAATTAAAAAGTTTTGAGATACCGTTTACTCCTGGAATCCCAGGTGGTCCCGGTTGTCCTGATGGGTCCTGGTGGCCCAGCAGGGCACAGCAAACATCCATTGTTGTCATAATTTTCGGCATCTAATCCTTCCATCCCTACTGGACCGTCTGGAGCATCCTCTGAAAACGACTAATCGAGGATGCAGAGCTTTTAACCCCCACAAGAGAATCTTCGCTCACCACCATCCAGACCATCTTCACCCGGTGTGCCTGGTGGACCAGATGGGCAGTCCGGATTTTGGCGAACTGCACATTGTTTGAGAAACATCGAGTTCTCTGTAAAATTGGCTAATCGGAGCAACATTCCCACATTCCAAAGGAAACATTAGGCCACGTTGAATCGTTCAAATAGCTTTACCACGAAATTCTAGGCTTAAAGGAATCTTGCGCGGAAAAATCATGATTCTATTTCAGCCATAAATCACTGGCTTGAGACTCATTATCACGATATAGTGAAAAGAACTGAAGTATTGCTTTCGTTTTGATTAGAAATTCGAAAACTCGAAAAGGCTGCTACGCGTTCGAATTGCCCACGGACGTCTTTCACGAATGCTGGCGACGGGGATGCTCAAACTTGGTTCTTGGAGTGCATTCACTAGAAGCTCTTTCTGGCCTTCTGCTTCGTTGCATTCACATCTTACACTTCTACTCCATCCTATTCCATCGATCGATTTGTCTCCACTCTCCGAAATCGCGCGCTTTAACCCGATTCTCTCATTGCGTCGCCTGGTACGTAGCCGGCCAAACGCCGTCTTCTTTCCATGCCTCGCCTGGCTCTGCCTCCTGGTCCTTCGATGGTCCATAACGTGTAGTTTTTGTACGTTTTTTCTCTTCAGAAACCGAATCTTCATGCGTGAAACTTTGTGTGCTATTTCCAGTGATCACAACTGACATATTCATGTTAGGAAAGAGTGCAAGAATTTTCCGCGCAAGATTCCTTTAGCGCGAACACTCGGGTTCCACT